CCATCGTAGGTCGTCAGACTCGACAATTTCTCCATATCGACAGGGAGGCGAGTCTCCATGATGACCCTAGGCAGCGGAGTACGGGGTTCTTCCTCATCGCTTCTGATGAGTGATTGTGAGGGAGAAAAGTTGTACTGAGAGATTATGTCGCGGCGTGGAGGGCTCTTCAATCGAGTCTTTAGCTTCTCCATCTTCCCAACGACTTTGTTTCTCTTAGGAGTCGGGGAGCGTCACTCCTTCCGGGGAGGGTTACGGTCACGCTTCTGGGTAGTTACGGGCTAAGGCCTCTCTAATCGTGGGAGACGTGCATGTTGTCGTGACGACGGGCTTCGAGATTCATCCCGTTGATGTCTCCGTGAGGGAGAAAGGGGACGTGTTTATCACCGTCTTGGGGATGGGTTGCGTGAAACGAGGCGCCTATGTCTCTGTGGGGGAGAGCGTGATTGTCACTCCTTTTCCAACATCCCAATCTATTTGTTCTGTTGGAACATCATCAGGTTCGTCTGGTTGATCGCCATGAACAAGGCCACCACAGTTGGGTCGGCGTTGGGCAACACGAGAATTGATCATAAAACAATAGGATTGTCGAACCGTTGGGCGGCACTGTCGGCCGCATTGTTGGAGGAAAGAGAGGTGGCGCGTCTATCCCTAGGGTCATCATCCTCGACTGGGACAGCCATATTGGAATCATGGTCATCACTATTGGTAAAGGTGGTGAAAGCGGATTCGTGGAGGTTATCGTTAACGTATGGACTGACCATGATCGATGGAAGTTAAGATGTGCTTTGGTTCTTTGTTTTTAAGGAAGAAAGAACGGGGAAGCAAAAGGTTCCCACAGACGGTGCCACTGATCTTACCGGACCAGAAAGAGATCAGCAGCCAGTAACACGTCATGAACTCCTAGTTCACCGGTGATGGAGAAAAGGAGGGGGTGTACCTACAAGACACTCTGATGTCAAAGTAAAGAATGGAGCAAAGAGATCAAGTACAGAAAGTGTAGAGAATAGAATACTTGGTCCTCTAGTGAAAGAGGATATTTATAATGTGCCCTTAGCACTGGGACAACAGTTATTTGCACTGAGTTGGATCATTAGGCCCAATATGAATAACTGTCAGGATCTACGTGGCGTAAGGAAGACTAGCACGTGGTCTTCTTCCTGGTCCAACTGCCTCGTGAGCTTCAGGAGGTGGATGACCTGTTCTCTCGGACGCGGGTAGTTGGCTAATAGGGTGTCTCTGGGTGGGGAGCACATGGAAACTGTGGGAAGACGCGTGAGTGCTCCTCGTGTGGGTTGAGGAATTGGGCCTTACTGGTCCCTCCTTGACGAGGAGTTGGGTTGGGTCGTGCCTGACGGTGGGCTAGCCTTTGGCCTAGTCCAAAATAATTACTATTTATAGAATTTCCATTGAGCGACGTTGATACTCATGGTGATCCTCATCTCCTTTATGTTATTACAAAAATGTCATTTGATAATTACAACTTTGTCATTACTTGGTATATTCTCTCCTTGATCCTCACGCATGCACTTTTATTACAACTTTGTCATTGCTTTCTTTCTTGATCCTCACACATTATTACAAATTTGTCATTGCATTATTTTTTGATCCTCTTGTGTGAAATAAAGTATTTTCAAGGAAATACTCACCATATTTTTAATCAATCAAATATAGAAATAAAAATAAAATGGTTATTTAGCTAAAAAATAAAAAGGAAAAGAGAAAAAACGAATAAACAGTCGGATATCAAAATAGTCAGCGCGAAATAAACGTATTGGAAAAATACAACGTTTGGTCAATTTTTGAAATAAATTTACCCGATTAAAAGGCTCAAACTGATCAAAATGCGTCTGAAAAGTAGTCGAAAAATTAAAACAAGCACACCATGTTAAACTGCACAAAATGTAGATTAATATAACTGATGTCTGCAAGCTCGACTTTAAAGTTTTTTCTCCATTGATTTTATGCACAGTTGACCTTTAGTTTGACCGAATCAGCTGTACATCCAACAAATTTATTTTGGCTAATAATTCGGGCATTATGCATGATGAAATACATGATATGCTATGCATATGATACAAAGTGAAAATACAGTCAGATGAATAAAAATACTAAAAATGTCTGGTCAATATTTTGGGTATGACAATATGACTGTATCATGAAAAGAGTCAATGAAAAGAAACAAAGACTTTTTTTTTGTATGGTTATGGAGGAACTAGGAAGAATTACTTTTGGAGGTCAATGTCAGCATCATTAAGATAAAGTGGTGAAATTGTTATTATTGTAGCTTCAAGTGGGATAACTGTATTGCTTATTCCTGGAGGGAGAACTGTACACTAAAGGGTTTCCATCCCTATAAACTTTGATGAATGCTCAACATGCAGAATAACTCCAAAAAGTTATTTGGCTGAGTTAATAATCAAGACAACGATGATCATATGGGATGAAAACACCAATGATGCATAAGCATTGTTTTGAAGCTGTCGATCGTACCTTAAGGGATATTCTTTGATCTTATAATAATGGGAGTTTAAATATCCCATTTAGGGGAAAAAGTAGTAGCTTTTTGTGGAGATTTTCGCCAAATTCTTCCTGTCATACCTAAAGGAAATAGAAAAGACGTTGTTCATGCTACTACAAATTCTTCCTATCTTTGGAATTTTTGTGAAGTTCTTACATTAACTACAAATATGAGACTTCTAACTAGAAGTTCATAGCATGACGTTGAAGAAAGAAAAGTATTTTATGAGCAGATTTTGGGAATTGGTGATGGAATTATTGAATAAAGTAATAACTCAAATATCCAAGGTTATCATTGACTCCTTCTGACAAAATAATCTCTTTCAAATTTCAACAACGTTAATTTCCATTAGTTGTTTCATTTGCAATGAGTATCAATAAAAGTCAAGGATAATCACTCAAACATGTTAGAGTATATCTACCACAATCAGATTTCTCTCCTGGATAACTATATATTATCACAACAAAAAAAAAGACTTAAAGATATTGGTGATTAATGATGAAAGTGAAAATATAAATACAAAAAGTATGACAAAAATATTGTTTTAGTCCTCTAAGTTATTTTAAAATATCAAGTTAGTCCTTTAAGTTTTTTTTTGTAACACTTTGGTCCTTTATGTTAAGTAGCATTTGCATCGTTGATATTTTTTAAAATATCTGTTACAATAAATTGCAAACTCATATTTCATTTGAACTGGTTTTTCGCGTTGATCACAAATATGTAATTAGTTTTGCGTTTGATTGTGTATTTTGGTCATATCAAACGATTTTTTATTATGTATTTGTCTACTTTTTTTCTTGATTCTCATGAATTGTAGCTTGTTTGATAAATTTGATTGCATATTCGTGATCAGCGTGAAAAACCAGTTCAAATGGTATATGAGTTTGCAATTTATCATAACAAAGATTTTTAAAAAGGTCAACGACGCAAACGTTACTTAACATAAACGACCAAAGCGTTACAAAAAAAAACTTAAAGAACTAACTTGATATTTTAAAATAACATAAAGGGCATATACAATATTTTTGCCAAGAAGTATTTAATAATATTGTTTAATTAATTAATATTTCTTTCTTTAAATTTTATAAATTTATAAATTGGCTTAAATACACTTTTGGTCCTGCTAAGTTAGCGAGTTTTTGAGTTTAGTCCCTGTAACTTTTTTTTGCCTGAATCCCTATATCTCATTTTTGCGTGCGTTTTAGTTCTAAAACCAAAATCCGCAGGAAAGTGAGATATGGTAACTCATACCTAAGGGTGACAAAACGGGTCGACCCGTTTGACCCGCCATTTTTGGCGGGCTGGACTGAGGTTTTCGGCTCGGTACTTTAAGTTGCTCTGCCCCGCATAACCCGTTTGAAAAAGCGGGGCGGGGCGGGTTTGCCCACAAGCTTTTTATTTTATTTTTTATTTTTTTACTTAGAATTAAAACAATTTTAACTAGAAAAACAACACTCTTCTCTAAGGTTTATGTTGATTGAATTGTATTATAAATTATTATACAAACAAAATGAATTATAATTGTAACGTTCTTTCTATAATTTTATAATACATGTGTTGATTGGAAAAACTTAAAATAAAAGAACAATTGTATGTCATGCTGAATTATTAAGTTGTCAAACATTAGCTCACATGTTTTTTTTAGAAATAGATGTTGATTTTAAGAAAAGGAAAGATTTGATTAGTGTATACGTGTAACAAATTTATGATTTAACTATTAAAGAACCAGTCAATATAAGAGTCTATATGATATAAACAGTGAAAAAGTCTGGTGTTGATATTTTATGCACGGTAATGTTTTATGCAATGTAATTGTTATCATTGTTTGTCTTTTGTAAATTATTAATTCGGTTCTTTTAGTAGTTAGTTTTTAAATAGTATTAGAATGATATATATTATTTATTATTTATTTATTTATTTTGATACGTTTTTTTATTGTGCTTGAGTTTATTTCGTTATTTTTTGTTGTAATTGGTCTTTATTTATTTTATTTTTTGAACTATTTGGACTTAAAACAAGTTGAAGTTCTATTATGCGTTTTTAAAAAAATCTTTTTGTCAATCTTTTTAATAATAAATAATTTTTTAATAAATTATATAATAAATTAAATTGTAAAATAAAAAAATTAACTGATCATCCCGCTAACTTGTTAGTAAACAATGCACGTTTGATTTTTAAACTAAGACACCTAAATTGGTCCGTTCTTCCCTGCCCCACTTTTAGACGAGTTTAACCCGGGTAGGCTGCCGTACTCATACCGCAAACAAAAAATAAGATATAATAACTCATACCAACAAAAATAAATTACAGGACCAAAATAAAAAATTCTCAAACTTATATAGTAACGGACTATTTAAGCTTTATAAATTTATAAAATCTAAAATATAATAGTAAAATTTGTCTTTCACATCAAAGAAATAACACTATCATTGCAAATATAATCTAAATAACCTATGAGAAAACATTGAGATAGAAGAGAAAGATGAAAACATTATCATCATCACATTCTTTCAATTTCATTCACTTTTCCAACTTCAACCCTTCTTCTTCTTCTTCTTCATTTTCTTCTTCTTCACTGTCCTTCAACAAACCTCAAAATAAGACTCCAACAGCAACATCTGCACCCGCAACCACCACAACCACCGTCACGCAAACCAGAAACACAAACCTAAACCCTAAAATAAAAAAGGTATTCTTTTTAGACGTGAATCCTCTTTGTTACGAAGGAAGGAACCCTAGTTTGCATAATTTTGCTCAATGGCTTTCAAGTTTTCTGTCTCCTCAAATCACTCAATCTCACCCTGTTATAGCTGTTGTTGATGGTGAAAGGGGAAGTGAATATCGGAGAAAGTTGCTTCCTTCTTATAAAGCCAAACGGATCAAATTCACCAGAAAATTTCCAACTGGTGGTGGTGTTGGTGATGGCTATGTTGGAAGGTTTCATCCAGTTATCAGTGATGTTCTTCGAAAATGCAATGTGCCTGTGAGTGAATTTATATCATCACAATCATCATTGATAGTTTACATTTTTGTCGCATATTTCTATGTATATACTTTTATTTTTCTTGGTTTCTTTCAATATTTTTAAATTGTTCAAAATTTAATTGCATGTTTAGCACAAAACTGTTCATGATGAATTAGTAGAAATTGCGATAGGTTGTTCAGTAGAATAATGTGTCTAATAGTGGCACCGTTGCAATGTTGAGTAGTGGAAATTGCAATAGTAAAAATGACAATATTAGAGTGTTGTGGTAGCACCTATAATAGAAAAAAATGATGGAAATTAGACTAAGGTGGTTTGGACATTTAGAGAGTGGACATGTAGATTCTGTGATAAGGAGAATAGCTCTGATGGAAATAAATCAAACGACTAGAGGAAGAGGAAGCTCTAAAAAGACTAAAAGAGAAATTATTAAGAAAAATTTTGAGATTAACGATTTGGATAGAAACATGGTCTTGGAAAGAATATTATGGCGAAAGTTGATCATGTACCAGCCTCGCTTAGTGGGATAGGGCTTGATTGTTGTTGTAGATGCGCTATAGCACCGTTGCATAGCAAAATCGGATCTAACTGTTGTTTTTTGCAATTGACAGAGCCTTCAATCAGGCAAAGGGAGTGAAAAGAGGGATGGCAACATTGGAAAGGATGAGAGTTAGGAGCAGTATGAGAAATATCAATTCGAGTTTTTGATAGAGAAGAAGATGCTTACTAGTGGTTGATTTGTATTGAGAATCATTTGATGTTGGTGTCTAGCTGATGCTTAAAAAATAAAAGCTAGACCCAAATGCTAACATTTGTGACTTATGACTCATTGAATATATGACTTGAGTAGAATCTTACTAATCATGTTACAATTCCACAATGTATGATTTTACTCCCCTGTTCAAATTATGAGTAAAATCTTGAGTTTCATAAACTTCAATGATAAGCTAATTCAAGTATAGTTCTCCTGTTCTTCAAACAGTGACACTACATTCCATGAGCTACAACATGCAACTGAGTTTTCAGCAGATGAAAAAGTGCAGAAAAGAAAACAGACATATACAGGCATTCTTAAAGCTCACTAAGCCATGAACCGGCATTTCTTTTTGCCTCTGATTGTCTGCTGTTTTTAACCATGATGTCCTGAAATTTCGATCACATTAAAATCCAGTTGTCACCGAATCAGCGATGACAACTTATTAGATTATATTATTTCGTATGTTGAAGGGCTTAGCTGTGCATGCTATTGTTCTGGAATGTTTCTATAGCATAAAACTATAATTACATAGGATTAACTAGTTGGCAATTTGTAAATTCAATGATAAAATTTCTTTCTTTCTGTAGCATGTTTTAAGTGACTGTTTAATGTTATTTTGTCAATCACATTGGAAAAATATGCAGATTTCATTCCAATATACATAAGCAAAACTGCATAGTTGATTTACTTTTATTCAATCCATCATTCGGTATGACTAAATGAAATCATATAGGTTGTAAAAGTTGATGGCCATGAAGCTGATGATGTTGTAGCTACACTTGCCGAACAAGTTCTCAAAAAAGGGTTTCGAGTGGTGATTGCCTCCCCTGATAAGGATTTTAAGCAACTTATTTCCGACAATGTGCAAATAGTTATGCCTTTGCCAGAGTTACAAAGGTGGTCCTTCTACACTATGAGACATTACAGAGATCAGTATAACTGCGATCCCCAATCTGATCTGAGCCTCAGTAAGTATATGATATATCTCATACCTAAATTCATGTTTGATACCTCCATTAATTTATATTCATGTCATGATTTTGTTTAATAGTCACGTGGTAATACAATTAACATATGTATAATGTAATTGCGTAGGATGTATTATAGGCGATGAAGTTGACGGTGTTCCTGGTATCCAACATCTGGTCCCTAGTTTTGGCTGGAAAACTGCTCTAAAACTTATTAAAAAACACGGTTCGTTGGAAGCTTTACTAAATGCGGCTGCAGTAAGGACTGTGGGCAGACCATATGCACAAGACGCCCTTAAAAAGTATGCTGATTACCTACGGCGGAATTATGAAGTTCTTGCCTTGAAAAGGTATTGATGTTTATTTAACCCTGGCACTTGTGATCAAAGACGTGTATGAACGTGTCACTCTCTGATATCAACACGACACCAACACATCTTTATTTATGGAAGTGGAACATTCTATATACTCTATCCGATATTAAATCATTCTATTTTTCTGATGTATATGAATGGATTGAAAATTGACAGGGACGTAAATGTTGAGCTTTATGATGAATGGTTGGTTGAGAGAGACACACGCAATGATACTATTGCACTATCTGCATTGTTCAAATATTTGGAAGAAAGTAAGGAGCTCAAGTACAATTTACGTATCTAATGAGGAATTATGTATGAATGATCATTGTTCTTAATGGTTTGTTTGTTGATAAATGTTAATAACTTTACTTTGCAATTCTTAAACTTGTTAAGAGTATGAATTTTGACAAATGCCCTTTAGTTAAATTTAAAATTAACTTTCATAGCTTATTTATGTTACAAGTTTGTGAACAAAATCATAGAGTTCTATGTTATGAATATTATTTTATCACTCAACACTGAAATAACACAATTAGACTCTTGTTGACTACGAATGTAAAAGATTTTTCATGTTCTTGGGTAAAAATTGTAACATTTATTATGATATACTTTTGATTTCATTTTGATGAATTGATGATGTAGTTTACCTTTTTGATAATGTCCAAGGTATGAAAGATTCATGTCATTTTATTCATGTGTTCTTGCATAAAAGTTTTAACATTTATTATATGCTTTGAATTTTTGATTTTGTTTTTTTTCCGGACTGGCCCAATGGCTAGACATAGCCCAATCTATTTCTATTCTTAGAATTGTCTGATTGTCTAAGTCTATCTAATTTGGGGAGCATTTACCTTTCTGTCCTTCTAACAGGGGAGGTTGACCAATTTACCTTTGGTCACAACACTTCTTCTTGACAGTTCTTTCTCATCACGCACGGTTCCATCATTCAAAAACAACCAAGATGCTTGTGTCTGTAACTACGCCTCTGTCCGTAGCAACGACTAGTTATGGGCACTTATGCTCGTTCCAACGGTTAGTTCTGTTAGTTATCTATTCTTCGAGAAACGGTTATCTCGTTCTGAAAATAGGGACCAACGGTCGAGTGCTGGGATAATATAAAAATCCTCTCCCTTGAGAGAGTCAGGTATCTAATTTTCATCTTGATATATTCATATTATGTACTTGCTCTTTGTCTTGTTAGATTCTTACTTTAGCATCGGAGTGTCTTGTAAGTACATCCCCTCCTCCTCTTTCACACTCAGCATCACAGACGTTTGTCTTTGACCCACTTCAGGTTATGATCAGCCGTCAAGATTAGTTTTGATGAACTATAGTTTTTTTTTTTAAATAGTCAAGAAAGATATTTGATGACAAATTTATAGTTATAGGTGAAGCATATAAGTTGGTTAAATATTGTATAACTAAATTAGGGTAAAGAATTTGCTTGATAAGGAAAAAGAAAAATGGTAAATAATTTGTTGAAATTTTAAATTAATATAAACAAGGTAATTTTTTCTAAAAAAAAATAAATATGAAACTAATTTTATCCAAAAACACTTGAATGTACTCTGGACACGTCTATACTCACAACAATTTTGAATTCTAAATTAATCTTTATAGTTGTGCGTAAGAGATACTCAATCGCAATTATGTAACAATTGGTCTGGCAGCCCCATTTTGCTACTAGGTGGATCTAAAAAATTGATTTTACAAAGGGCTCTTCCAACGTGAAGAGTCACATTTAAAATTTAAAATTGTCCTTGATTTGGAAGCATACTTCTGTACGGATTTAAAACACACCACATTTTTCGTAAATGAACCACTTGCTCTATGTTATTAAAAATTAGTCTCAAAGAATATTTTCGTACTTATGGAAGGATGAGTATGAACGTGTACTTTTGTAATAACCTCTAAACGTATTTTGAATTTATGATAGTGTATTTATTTCACAACTCAAAGAATAATTTAGAAGTATACTTTTTATAATAATTTTTCTGCAATAAATATGTTATAAATTTGACAGTTTTTTGAGTAACATTATATTTAGGTCATTTATACTAAGTATACTACCAAAATAAATCCGCTATCAATTAAACCATGTACTAATATAATTCAATTAAAATGTCATATATTAATTCAAAAATAAAATTCATAATCAGACATCAACGTTCACAAATTACAAACCATAATACAAATATTATTAAAATACAAGTAAAAGTGAACTACTACGTATATCTGTATTGTAAGGCATTTTGTACATCAGATAGAATTGTCTCTAAAGTGACACTCACATGAGTGTCTTTCGAAAACATACATGTAACACATCAACAACATGATCTTCTTTATCTTGCACCTCCTCTAATATCTTCTAGTGAGTTAGCTTAGGTGGATCTCCATGAGCATTGGTGTCATGTCAGGATGTGACACTCTCAAATACCACTGAATGTAGTCTAATGCATTACTCCTTGGTTGAGGATCTGGAAAAAAATTGTGTTTCTTATGATACTAGATGATTATAGAAATTATCAAACATCACACCAACATCTCTGCGAATGACAGTAATGGAAGTAGACACAAAGCATTCTTTTGGAATACCCTGTTGAAACCCAAATTGGCACATGACTCCCTCAGACATATGTGGATAAATTAGGTGTGACCCACAGACAACCAACTAGAGTATGAGGTTGCGTCATCCAAGAGAGGTGTCATACACTGTGTAGCGTATATCATCTACTACAATATGGTGAAGAAACACTTGGTCAGAGATGAAGGAGCGAGCACAGGACCAAGCCTCATTGTATTCATCCTCATATGACCAACTAGATATTCGTGAAAAGTGAGAGAGGATTCATGCATAAAAATGATCCAGATAAAATAATTATAACATTGTAGCACAAGTGTTATGAAGTATTAGTAATAGTAAAGATGAAAATAAATTACAGTAAATAGTGTGTTGCTTGTTGTCATCTTCTAATCTCCCAAAGATAAGTTTTACCTAATTTCGAGTACATGTAAACCAAACAAACGCCCCTTAGGTGTACTCACGAATCCCTTAAAGTCAATTAACTCAATAACGTCTCTGAGTGTCATCACTCCACAAAAACTGACAAAATATTATGGTTAATAATTGTCGCTACGCGAAAAATGACACAGAGTCGCCAGCTGTCGCTACGCGAAAAAGCCACCGAATTTTATTTATCCCAAGGAGGGAAAGGGAAATAGCGATAAAACCTTTAGGGAAAGAGCGTGGTCATCGGAACCAAGTCTTAGGGTTCGGGAGTCGGTTATGTGAGGGGAAGGTATTGGCACCCCCTCGCATCCATCGTATTCGATGGGAACCTTCTGAAGGTGAGATAATACTTAGAAGGGGGGGTTGAATAAGTATGAAAGATTAAGACTTAAAAAAAAATCACAATTATTTTTATCCTGGTTCGTTTAAACAACTACTCCAGTCCACCCTTCCTAGAGTGATTTGCCTTTCTCAACAAGGACTTAATCCACTATTAAATCAAACTGATTACAATAGTAACACCTAAGAACAACTGTTCTTAGTCTTCTCAAGAGCTACTGATTCCAACTGAATCCTCTTAAGGAAATCCTTTACAATCAATGTAAATTAAATACAAGAGTATTAATGCTTCTATAAAGCTTTTATCACAACAGTGATTTTTCTCTTAAGTTTAAGTACAAGAAAATTCTAAGAAGAATATGAGATAATGAGAGCTTAGAATAATATGATTTCTTTTCAGCAAATTGTGTAACTGAAGAATGTGGTGGAGTTCTCCTTTTATAGGCAGCTGATCCAAGGATGCTGAGCGTTGAAAAGAGAGTCCCAAAAAAGGTCTGAGCCTTTTTGTCTTCACATCAAGTGACCTTTCCTTGAAGTAGATAACACAGAAAAATCCTTTTTGTCTGTGTAATTGTGTCTAGCACAAATGAGGAAAGAGACGTTGGTTTACTCCAACGGATATATTCTTGAATATTTCTTCTTCAGTTTTTCAGCAAGTTCTTCAGAGTCTGAATGGATCAGAGTCTTCTAATGATATTCAGAACTTTGCTGTATCAGAGTCTTCTGCAGCATGTGTGCTTTCAGCGTGTTGATCATCAGAGCATATTTGTCACAGAACTTCAGTACTTGGCAGCGTTGGTACTTTCAGAAACTTCTGTAGAATTATGCTTTGAGAAACTCTTCAAACAATATTCTTCTTTGCTTCAGATGCTTCAGCTTCAGATGTTTCTGATTATCTTCAGATGCTTCTGACTCAGAATGTTCTGGAGCTTCTTGCTTCAGATCCTTCTGGAGACTACGCTCAGGATCTTCTGTAAAGGGCAATCAGATTCTTCTGTAAGATGCATCTGGCGCTTCAGAGTCAGGATAACTTCTTGTATACAACAGATTTGCTTCTAGAAAGTTAATTTCAATTCAATCTGCAGTAAAACTCTCAAACAAATTTTAGAGTATATAATTCTTAAATATAAAATTTCCTAACAGTTATCATCAAAACAAAGAGTTATTATTAAGAACCAATCTGTGTTCTAACACCTTCTAGGTTGTTTAGCGTGAATGAGTGTTTTTATTAAGAGTTTGCTTGCTTAAGGAAAAGAGGGGTTGGTTTATTTATTTTAATGCTCGCCAAGGATTGGGGCCCTTGTGCCTACGTATCCTCACTTAAAAGAAGTGAAGAATCAGAGTTCCGTAGTTCGGAGGATTATGAAATAGTGGTTTGTTGGTTGATTTTATACCTTGAAAAAGGGTTTTTGGATGGATGCCCTAAGGAGAAAAATAGTTTGATGAGTTGATGTTATTTTTAGGTTTTTTTTTTAGAAATGGTTCTTGACTAGGATTACACAAAAGGACTTTGGACAGAGGTGAATGTTTCGAATAGCCAAGTCGAGCGCCTTGTATCCAAAACATTCGGAACGAGTGTAGGAGGATTCCATTCTCATTCCTTCTCCACCACCTTAAAATCTATGGTGTGCAACCCTAACCATATATTTGTTGTATTTTGGGTTTTTTATGAGAAAAAGGATCACTTGATGTTGGATCAAGGTTTATTGTTTGTAAAGATATATTTGAAGCGATACAGACAAGGTCGATGGTGATGCACAAGGCAATCGACTTACAAGGTTAAAAATGGCTCGATAAAATCGAGAGTTTGTTTTTGAAAATGGTTTTTGGAATCTAAAGTCAACAAGGACAATAGCAGTATTCACATACTAAAATCATGCAAACATGTGGGGTTAGTCGGCTAAAAAAATCGAGACATGCAAAAAAAAGCTCTTTGAAAAAAAAAATTTAAG